ATGTGTTAAAAGATTTTGACATAAAAAAGAAAATCAATGAGGCCATATATGACATAATACATAATGTTTTTATACATATGTATATGATGTGCTCTCATTCTGAAAATTTAAATGTAAACTATCTTTCTTGTTCTGATTGACCCATCACCAAAAAGAATTTTGCAATAATGAATCCTATTTAAGTAGACCGGCATGTGAGCCAGTATGGGTCACTAAGGATCTAAAGATTGAACAGAGCACAGGTTTAAACTATTTGCGTAAAGTTGCTAAAATAAGCTCGATGATTGAGTACCTTAAGAACTGAAAACGAATTTAATAGACTGAATGTTTACTTTACCTTGATTAAACCTAACGATTCTACATTCAGCGGCTTCGCTGGCTTGATCATGTCAAGAGAATGAATGATGATACTGCAGTGAAAAAGGGTATTTGAAGCAATAGAGATAAACCATGTTTGGGATGGATTAATTAAATTGAGGGAGCACTAACCGTACTTGATATATGAATCTGGAACGGCGCACAAACAGCAGACTCGACTGGTTAGAAAAGGAGAAGAGTAGAAACGTCAGTCCAAAACCACATAACGAGTTGTTAAGCCCATATTAATGCAATGTAATTTATGTTCACCTACAAGTTGCTGTTAAATCACTTTAAATGTACTAAAATTTAAGTAAAGTTGTGCACTGACTGCTTGCATTAGTGTAGATAAGGGTTTTAGTGTTCTCTTGCAAGTCTATATAAGTTAAAATAGTGAAACATACTGAATTAAAGTAGTAGTTCGTTTTTTTTTAAATCAGAAGATTATAATTGAGTTGCATATTAAATATATATATTTTAACTATTTACTATTACTATTTACTGTCATGAATGGTATAACATCCGTGTAATGCTAGATATTGTAGTATGCTGATGACATTGGAAGGATATTATCTATTCTGAACTACCATCAACTGCCCAAGAGATTGATTTTGATCTTTAAAAGTACTATTAGCAACAAATGGGCTTTAAATTTGAAAGCGAAAAATACAAATAGCGAAATTGATACATAAAAAAGGTTTTGAGGTTAATTTATAGAAGAAAAGGTCCATTTATATTATAGTCCATTAGAAGAAATTTGTCGATTTTGCTTGATAAGTCTTTATATATCTCCTCTATACTCTAAATACCTTATAGCAATATTATATTTTGTTTCAATCTCTACAAAACTTTCTTACTAGCGTAGAACTGAACTCAAAAAAGAACTGTGAATAACTGCTATCTCAAAGACCTAAAATTCTACAATAAAGTAATAATCATTCTAGGCAAAAAATGTTGTATGTCGAAATAAACAATAAAATTTATTTTAAAATTCATATTCAATTTATAATTAAAATTTACTGTAACCCGATACACCGCATAGTGTAAACGTTAAAATATTTAACTTAATTCAAAAAACTATTTATTTACATGTTAAAACAAATAAAAGCTAATTGTTTAATATATTTAAGGTCATAAGTTCTGTAGAAACTGATTTTATTAAAAATTTTACATTTAATTGAACGTAAAAATAAAAGTAAAAAAGATTTTTGCGCAGCACGTGTAAATAAAATAAAACATTGAATACAACAAAAAGCAAATAATAATTAAATGATTAAAGCCCAGATACAAAATGAAACGAGCTCAGTCGGAAGGAAGTACGGTACACATTCGTACATACCTAAAGGAACAGAACAATTCAACTGCTACTCGAGCAGAAAACAATAACAAAACATAATTTCAATTTAATTACTTCATTATTTACGTACATAAATATTGAACAAGCAGAAAGTATCTGAGATACATTACAAACAGTCGAGACCTACAAACACTTATGCTTTTGTATGGAAATATGAAGTCTTAATTTGAGATTTTTATTTAATCATTTTTCATTTGAACAATTGAATGCAAATTTAGCACAATAACAAAATATTTTTGAGAATATGTAACACATGAATTTGTTCAGATACGAGTATACATATATGGACGGATGTGTATATGGCCCAACCACATCTTAAGCTGCTGCCCTGTTGCCCTGCATTTCTGAAATTGTGGAAGCCAACAATGTGCCACCATGTGAAGGTAATTAGGCCTTATGGCATGCCAGCAGCTGAACAAAAAACTCAAACAGAAACTTACTTCAGAGGCAATAAAATGCAATTTCATGTTGCTGCATTTAAATTGGAAACCCATTTTCTGTTGCATGAGTTCCGAATGTGGAGAGCAGGGCGCATGTTGCACGGTAAGCTTTTGTGCCCAATTTCGTTCCTAGTACCAATAACAGTACCAACGTAATTCATTTTACTAGCTTATAGGCAAATTGTGAACTTAATTATAAATTTTCCAGAAATTATACACATAAAACGAATTATTAATACTTTTTTAATAGCATTTTGAGAAAATGAGGTCTAAGGTGCCTGGAGTCACCTTTAATATCGAATTTTATGTTTGCTGCATTCGAAATGATGGCAATGCCTTAAATGACTTTCGAGAGCGCAAACTTTATGACACATATTGATATAATTTACTTGATGAAGTACAAGTACTCTTACCGGTACATCTTGATGACCGGTTTGGAAAAGAAAAGGAAGGGCCATTGATACTTATGATATGTAGAAATATACTATGGTACCTCGATACTGTCGGATTTGTAAAATAAAAGTAGCGAAGGGTGTGGACTGTAGAAACATATTATAACTTGGTACTTATGTACCAGAATAAAAGGATGTAAAAAGGTACCAGAATATTACAATAAAAAATAGAGAAAAGATGATTTATTAATGTAAAAGAATTTTATTATGTTTAAATTCAAATATAATTGACAATTTTCAAACTTATTTTGAAAATATTTAATACAATAAACACTGATGATGGAGACTTGACAGTATCCCTGTACGATTAGCCGTAGAAGTCATTTGATTAAAAATTAAATGTTTAGCTTAAAATATCCTCAATATCACCTCTTTAGTATAATCGAAATAAAATTCTTGTTATAGAACATAAATAAACAAAGAATTACTGCAATAAAAATAAATTAAAATAATGTTTATATAATTTATATTGTTGAAGGTTTTAGTGCCGACATTTTTATAGAAAAAACTATATAAAATAAATATAAAATATAAAAACCAATCATCAGTTTTTTATTTAGGTCCATAAAAATCTTCACCAAGTTTGGAAGACAATAAGTTCTCCAATTTATTATTTATATATTTCTAATAAAAAAAAATTTTGTCGAATTCGTCAAGCCAATTTGTCAAATTAATTGTAATTTTAGACCTATCATAGAATGATTAGGAGTCTTATAATATACAGCATAGTATAATTAAACTTTTATACCTTTCAAATATAAGACCACTTATTTTAAATAATTTAAATATTTCAGAATTGTATTAAATTAATATTAAATGATATTATATAATTATGATTCTATAATTGTTATATAGAATTATTGTTGTATTAAATAATTTTTTCATTAATAATGAATTAACAAAGAAGAGACCATCACTGAATTCTATTCGAAAGCAAAGTAAATGACATTTCTTTAGCGTCTAATATACGTATTATAAAAAAATCGTTTTAACATCCAGCAAAATTATATGGCATACCGAGATTATATGTCCAAAATGGGAAATTATAAAAAATGTTCACCATATATGAAGGAAAATAGAAAAAGAGTTGTTATAATACACCGCCCGGAAGAAGAAGTCAAATAAATCACGATACTTCGGTAGTATTTATATTAGAAATAGCTATGAATATACAAAAAGTAAACAAAAAGCCGTTCATAGTCAACTATATAGACAACTTATGGACCTAAAACAATTGAATACTAAAAAAGAATACTAAAAAGAATAGTAGAAAGTAAAAAAGACGACTTATTAATGCAAATCGGAATAGATTATTGTCTTAATATTTCATAAATTTCCACATAGACCTTATATCGAATATATTTTAGATAAAAAATAAGGCCATAAACAATCGTATACAAAAGAAGACACCTTATACTATAATTGAATTGCTCATTGTCCGAACATTGTTCGATATATCTCTCTTAAAAATATATTATAGTGAATATATTAAACACAACAAAATTAACTTAAAAATAATCGAATAGAAAAGGAGAATCGAAATCGGACCTTATCTTCATCGGACTTTTAGAATATATTTTTTATCGACCATATTAAAGACAATAAAATAAACCTAAAAACAAACGAATAGAAAAGAAGATATCTTAACCTAAATTGGAATCTTAAATTTTTTTTTAAAGTCCGACATTTTTCTTAAATAGACATTATATTGGTTGAAGAGACCATTTAGGTCCATTGCAATACCTGATCAGAGTCTTATTATAATTAAAACATAGTTGTATTTGAATTTTACCTTGAACATAAGATGATTCGGTAGACTAAATTGATTAATGTCTGATCTAAATAGTTTATATATAGAATTAAGAGCAAAAACAAAGTTGTTTCGTTTATTATTATAAATAGAAATAACTAGTTCGAACATCTACTTCGAAAAATATATGTTTCGCTATATTTTAAGTATATTATTATAAAAGTGAATTGATTAAAGTGAATAACACTATTATATAAAGAAACTAGATAACCCGGCAAACGGTGTTTTGCCGTATAAATTATTTCTACTGATAATTTTTTTTTTAAATAAATGATAATGAATGAATTGCAGGTGTGTGGGGATGGGTTCTATGATAGAAAGAGGAATTGAACCCTTAGGCGATGATCGCAGGTAATAACACCAACCACTCGTTTTCTTAGTTCAATGTATTACATTGATATTTTTGCTGGATAGGGACACCCTAATCACTTTAGCGGTATGAAATATACTTTATAACCTATTCTCATACCTACCAAATATACACGAAAAGTTCCATGACAATTGGTCAAGCCGTTTCGGAGGAGTTTAAACACAAACACCGTGACACAAGATTTTTATATATAAGATGGTATGAAATTCGACTCACCTGATTTGATAAAACAGCTGCGTCCACATTCGGATTAATTAAAACGTTGATATTTGCTACTTTTTTCAATGAAGAAGAAGAAGAAAAACAGCGCGTTTAGTTTCCAACTAAATTCGAACTTAAAATTTGTTTTATTTTTTTTTTGTTTTTATTTTATTTGAAGTAAACACAATTTACACTTTTTGCTTTGTGCGTTTTTATTATAAAATTAGTACAATGAATTCGTATAACCGTTTAATCCATTTAAATTTTATTAATTGCTTTTTTAGAGCAACAAACTAAAACTATTTAGAATTTTTATTTAAACAAGATCATTAATTAATTAATTAATTTTAATATAAATAAAAACCATTTTGATTTTTCAAATACAGCACAATAAGAAAATACCGAAAAAAAAAATAATAAAAATACAAAACAACAAATACACATTAAAATATATTCTGAACTGTTGCAGGCACCACCGCATACACTTTTAAGAAGTTAAAAACAAAAACAAAACATTTGCAACAACAAAACATAGAGCGGTAACCTTGCAGCTTCCAGTTATGCGTGGCTGTTTGTCTGCTTTTGTTGGTTTAGTTGAGCAAGATTGTAATGTGCGCATATGTGTGTGTGTGTGTTCTGCTTTTTTCCCTGAAAAGGAGTTTCCATACTCTCTTCTTCCTTTTCTATGCGTTGAAAACGAGAGAGAAATTTGTTTAACAGAATGAAAATTTTTGATATTCAAAATTTGTGATCGGCCGGTAACATAAATGTTTTCTGTTAAATCTTATAAAAACATAATTTCAAAAACAAAACAGAACAACTTAAAATTTATTTAAAGAATACAAAAGAAACAGCAGGAGCATAATATATAAAAAAAGAAAAGGAAACTAGAAGGTATCAAATCTGTACACAGCAGGAGACGAGCAATTCAAAAGATTTACATGCGGCCACTGACACACACCCAAACTCGTGTAGTAAAAGAAAAATCAATTAATAAATATGTTTTCACTTATATTAAACTTATAATTTTTAATAACAAATAAAAAAAACATAAACATATACATAATAAACATAAATTTATTCAATAAAGCAATAACTGCTTTTTATATATTTTTGCGGACAACGCACAATAAATAAACATTTTTTTGATACACTGGTATTAATTGTAAACAAATTTTACAACTCACTTTTAAGCAATTCAAAAACAGTATTATAATTTTCTTTCAAAAATTCTTGTTTTTTTCTTTGCCACAACAAAACAAAATATTTTCAACACGACGTCCGCTCTCGTTCTTAACCGACGGCGAACAAAACCCACTCTGACAAAATGAAAATGAAACAAACGCAGAAACAAGAAAACTTAATGCAAGCATTACCAACATCAAATAATGCACAAATAATAAACTTATTATGATAAATGAATTGTGAGATGTACTAGCAATTATTATACTTGAATTTTACATTAAACGCATGTAATAATTTATTAAATATGTAAAAAATATGTTTTTTTATTTACTAAATAAGACTGTTTATGGAATTAACAACATTTAATTTTTAAATTTCCTACAAGTATAAAAACTCAAATTGAAAAATGTATTTCAAACAAAAGACAAATTTTTTAAAATAATCAGAAACAAAATTAATATGTTTTCAGGTGTTTCAATAAATTTTATAATAAAACTTTATACAATTTATATCAAAATGTTTATTGTTGCTTCGCTGTTTGACAATTAAGATTCCGTCATGTAAACACTAATTCTCAATTGTGCACTTATTAGTAATTTTAGTTCGCTAAATTTAAAATATAATAAGGTCCAATTATAATAAGGGTAATTAAAGTATAATCCCTTTAAAAATTTGAATGTTGGCTTTCAAAGTAATACTTCTCACTATTAATTGATTTTACATAAAAAACGTGTATTCCAAGTAACATACACATTTATATATAAAAAAAATGCTGTGTTTTTTGTATTATTATTATATTATATATAATAACATTTAAATATTTAAATGACTAACATTTGCGACTTGCATATTTACCTCAAA